AGTATGTCATTTTACAGTTAATTAATAGCAATTACCATTATCCAATAAACATCGAGTCAAACATGTGCTCACGAGGCAATCGTTTTCACTTTTTGCAATGGACATTTAAGTAAACCCAGGAAACTGTGGTTTTGACTTCAGTTAAAAAAAGAGATTAACGCCCCTCGCCCACACACTTTTAACAAGACACTTTGTTGTGCAAATCAAAATTCTATCATTTACATTCTTGTGTTACTGAATGCATTTGGACCACAATATAATGCAAATGATCAAATACATTTTTTGATAACACCAGGAACAATGTCTCATGATGCCCCAGGTAAGACTGATTTCATTTCATGCATAAAATTGGTCTGATTCCAATCCAATATTTATATGTATATTTTACACCTTTTATGCTTTTTTGACATAAAACAGAGCTGCATAACGTAATATTCAGAGCAACATTAATTTAATCCAATTTTTGCCCAAATGCCCCAGTTTCTGGCATTGGAGAAAATGCAATGGTTGAGAAGAATTGCTCAGGCAAAGATCCTCTCATCAGTATTGCTACAGCAATGTGGATCGCTGTCATTGCATCAGTGTTTTTTCTCTATCTGTACTGGAGACACATTCATCCTAAACCAAGGTATTATTCATTTGCTTTACATTGTCATCAAGAAGAATTCCACTCATATAAAGATGTTTCAGCATTTAAATTTCAACCTAATTTTCCAGTTTCCATGTTTCATACCGACATAATTCAGAGATGCAAGAGACCGATTTACATTCCGGAAAAACTACTGATCTTGTCGAAAAAGGCAAGCAATAATATTGCATACATTAATGATGGTCATAAAAAGTACATTTCAAAGTGTAATTTTATGCTGCATGTTGTTAAACAGTTAGTTTGTTTTTAGTCTGTTGTTTTTTTTCAACAGAGTATGAATCTCTGAAAGGATCTACCAACCAAAATGAGGGTAAGCGCACATAATCTGAGATAAATAACCCGATAAAGCAAATACAAAGACATGTGCTGTCTATCTGGGACCTTTAGACGCATTCTGTACATTTGCATCACAATGATATCAAATCTCCCTTGACATCAAAGATAATATAAACCAAAGGTCTAGACACTTTTGCTAGCAGTGTGTTTCCTGAGGAAGTCAGCCCTCTGCATTTATGATGCTGGTATGTCTGCCAAATAAATGTCTTTTCTCCATTTTTTTCCAGATTACCAGAGTCTGGACACAAAACAACAGGAGCCCAGTTTAGAAAAGGAGGATTCTATCCATGCCAACGACTTTTAACTTGAAAGAACTCAATGGAATAATACACAAATTAACATTGTTCTGGACACAACAAATGGAAGGAGAAGAGGGATTTGAAAAGTGGGTGTATATGACACTGATGCAAAAATAAATGAGAACAGAGCCAGAGACTGAAGCAGTTTAATGTCCCAACACACTCCACCAAATGGTGGATTCAGGTCGATGTCATTCTGATTAATAACAACAATAATAACAAACACAAAGAATAATACAAAACCATTTACATGACATCCTAGTTTTGTACTGAAATACTGCAAATATATATAGAGAGATTTCTTTACAGAGAGTATAAACAGGGAAAAGAAAAGAAATAGGTGCTACATGAGCATTAACTAACAGGTGCTACATGAGCATTAACTAATGCCCTGTTTACACCTGGTATTAAGATGCGTTTTGGTCGATCGGATCACAAGTGGACGACGCTAAATACAGGTGTAAACGCGCAGTCTAAAGCGTTTTAAGCTTGTCCACTTTCGACCGCTTCCAGAGCTAGTCGCAAACGCATTCGACCGGATTGCTTTCGTAGTGTAAACGCTCATGTGGTCGAATGTGTTCGAGCAGCCACAAAAGGACCAAAGTTTGGTTTGAAGATGAAAAACGTACCGAGACGATAAATATTCTCGCACCATTCCTGATTTGTAACACGCTCACCGCATTCTGCGTGGTCTTGCGGTCCGTCCGCTCCGGACGAATTCATGTACATTGCGCGAGCCTATTTTGTTCATTAGATCGAAAGATCTGGAAAAAACACCCGCCCATAAAACCCTCCCCTCGAAGAAACCAAGACAGAAGTGGTTGAAAGTGGACAAAAGAGACGGATTAAAACACCAGGTGTAAACGGGAATGTGTCTCGCTGGTCTGCTTGTGCATCTTAACGCATCTTAACAGCAGGAGTAAACAGGGCCCAAGATTATCAGTTAAACTCTGTTCTCAAGGCTTCTTATCAATGACTTTACATGCTGAAGAGTCGTCCCCTTCTATACTTCCCCCCTTTATTTTTACCATTAAGGAGACCTGAGTTAATTTGTGATATAATACATGTGAGTTTTTTTTGTTTTGTTTTTTGTAAGGGAAGGAGCAGTTGCATATTAAATATCCTTCAGTGGCATTCATGTGGGTGCTCAAGTGCCCGTGGGCATCTCAGATCAACATGCGCTGAGATCGAGTTTCAAAGAGCTTTTTTTTTAAAAGGAGCTTATTACATTCAATGCGAATAAAAGGGCTCAAGGGTTTGTTCCTGTGGATACTATCGTGAAGATCTGCACAGACTTTGAGTAAATCACATGTTCTGCAGGCACGGTCACATGAGTGAATTTTCACGTGCAATTGGCTTTATGCACAGCTTCACTACTTCCTGAACTTCAGCCAGCACTTTGTTTCCTGTCTGTCATTATTGGACAAACTAATTAATCCAGGTGTGCCTGGCCTCAGTAACAATAATCAGGCACACCTGGATTAATCAGTTTGTCCAATAATGACAGATAGGAAACAAAGGGCTGGCTGAAGTTCAGGAAATAGTAAAGCTGTGCATAAAGCCTATTGTCAATAGGGGAGCCATGCATGGGGAAAAGTCCCTGAACCACGTAAATGTGGCCGCACCTTTACTGTGTCTTTTAAAATGTTCTTAAATTATTCAAGTACATACTTCGTTTTTAAAGCTCTATAAGCTCTCTGCCTGTGTTCGCAAATACCCAAGCGAAGCCTCGAATTTTCAGGCATGTGCAAAACCATGCAACGGTGGCACTAAACTGAGGGCTCCACAAACCAGCATTATAACAAGCGTTGTGTGTCTTTATTCGGGGCCATTGATATCTCCTCATCTGCCGTTCTCACAATATAGAAAGAGTGAAAGTGACAAAAGCAGGGTCTATCTAAAGCACGACTCTTGCACTGATAGCACTAGGTTAATTGAGGTCTTTCTGTTGTGTGTGAAGATTGCTCCGTTTGCTCAAGATGAATAACGACCTTGAATATTCTGAGCTTAAATTGATCCTAAAGGTGTATTAGAACAGCAAACAACATTTCACAAACGTTTTACTGTTAATATACGGATATACTCCTAGTAGGTTTGAAGCTAAATTTACTTTTTGAACATAAATGTGACCTAAAGGGAACATCTCTACTGTCTACATATTAGTCATACAAGAATTAGGTCACTGTACATCGACACTTGTTATCAAAATATATCACACATTGCCATTAAACTGCGTACATCTTATTGCACAACTTTTTGGTTTGTGCAATAAGATGGAAATACGATTAGAACGTTTTAGATGCTCTGACTTCTGATTCTGAGGTTGTACAGTGTCCAGGGTTATTAGATGTTACTCAATCACACAGTTGTTGGATTCGAGTTATTGTTCCTTCAAAAATGGATCCTATTTCACTCAACCAAAAGAGCTGTACTTCAGCGTGTGTGATACTGCTCAATAAACACTTCATACACAATATTGCCGGTTACTTTCTCTTTTCTTGCTCCGCCAATGAAAAACAATGAAAGCAGAATCAACCATTGTGTTTCTGAGCAATACACAGTTGAGTCAGTGATGCAATGACTTAAGCCGAAAGTATATTTTTCCAAGTTCCGCTCTAGTTCGTGGACAGTCCACGTGGTGATTTGTCATTTGCTGATGTCTACAGTCTACACCATGCCCGATTTTTTGTCTGTGTGGACAAAGTAAAGGTAAAAGTAAAAATAAATGCCCAGGTATACTTCATTTTCTGAGTTCTGCTCCATCTTGCACACAATTGCGCAAGTGTAACGGAGCTAGTAGTCGCTGTGCGAGTAAAACCTCACTCCTCTGATCTCAATAGACGCTCTAGCGACAGACGCTAGGGGCTGCAGTCTTTAGCCTCCTTGTTAGAGTGCCTGACTCTCACGCCGGAGACCCCGGTTCGAGGCCCGCAGAGAGCGGGGCGAGTAGGACCACTGGGTTGGAGGGGGTCACACAAGCTGAGCTGGAGTGGAAAGTGCACAGCATAAGTATACTTTTGGCTTAAGGTCCACCAGACTCATAAAGAATGGTGTAATCTGGAGAAAAGTCACTGAAGATGCATGCAGACAGACAGATTGTCTGGAACAAACAGACAAGCGAAGTCCCAGAGAATTTGTACTGTATAGGTTCTGTACTCACTATTTCTTGTGAATGTGCAAGACATCCGATTCAAAGGTAAATAACTTGAAAAATAACAAAGTGTAGTGAACGGTAAATCTATTTGCTCTACAAACCATTGTGTTTATGATTGATAGAATATTAAAATAATATGATAACAAATGCCAGTTTGCAATATCAAGCAGCATAATGAACTGTTTTTGAACAGCTAAAATAACTGGAAGCGGTTGACTCCGGAAGCCTCTCGCATACAATTTACAAATGGCCATGTCCGCTCTTACATCAAAAATAAGTTGAATAGACTAATCTGACAAACAGCGACCAACACCGACAATCACTAGTTGTCTCTTTTTAGACATTCCATGACCCGACAAATGCCGATTGAACGTTCAAAGGTAGCGTCGACCAACAGCAAGTGGTCAAAACCAGACAAGCATGTCTGTTGGTGTTGGTTGGTGTCTGTCAGTGCGGAGTTCATTAGCGTTATACAAATCAAATTTTAGGACAGGAACTAACTTTTGTAGCATTTGAACTGCAGAGCATTTTTGGTGTTCTTTCAGTTTTTGGAATGTGAGAGCACAGCACCTCAATGTCATTTAAACACTGTTCTGCACACCTACATTCAGATATGTCAATCCTCAAAAACACTGTTATTATGGGCAATTAGGCGGGTTGTTTTTTGTGAGGACGTACTGGGGAACTTCAGTTTTTAAGTTAAATTGTTTTTTTTAAAAATGCCAAAGGCAAAGGATACTTGTATATCTTAAGCTTTCTTAAGCTTCATGTTTCTTCATTCCTTTCATCTTTCCCCCTCCTCAAAGCTCATCAAGCCCCATTCCCCTCCCAGAACCGCTGTTGTTAGGGTGTGGGTACGGCAGACTGTTTGTTACGGAATGTCTCAAAAAATGCCAACATGCCCTTCTTCACGCTGGGAGAGGCCATTTTGGAAGGTGTGTGTCCTTGGAGTCGGAGCGGGAAGCTGGAGCCGTCCATGGAGTTGGCTCGTTTGACTTTGGAGCCGGCCCGCCACATTTTGGGCCTCATAGGAGGAGTCTGCGCAACCAAACACTTCTGGTATTGGACCTGAAGGGGGCAGCAGACATTTAGAAATACTTAAGAAGACGTGATAGATTTTGCATTGAATTCTGTATCGATGCTATGAAACTATGACTTAAGTGTGGGATATTTTGTCATGGGTTGAAAGTCAAATAAATGTAGTATTGCCTCACCATGCATGCAGCCTGAACTGCCTCAGAGATGATCCCAGCATCGGGCTCACACCAGAACACATGGCACTCAAAGCGCTGGGTTCCAGCATCCACTATGACTGCAAAAGTGTGTGTGTCATGACCCACACCTAGGAAAGTTAAGTAACGTACTTGGCATTCCCAAAATGGGTCATCTCCATCCTGAAATAAAGCAAGAGGGGAAGTAAAGTGAAGAAAACCTACTACTCATACTATTACTGCAGTACATAGCGTATATACTATGAGAAGTATGCAAAGTGTCCTTATGCACATGCAGAGCATACTGCACTGGTCACTGTGTAGGCTACCCAAAAAATGAAGTGCACTTGACTTGACTTTCCATTTCATGTGTAATGAACTTTTCATGTGTGATCATTTATTTTAAACTCCCAAAAGTTGTCCCAAAAACTCACACAAATTTGAATGAAAAATACAAAACAAATTTACCTATAAAATGAGCATGAATTTATGAAGCTAGAGAGCACTTGATGAATTAAACATTGTTTGGTGACAGCAATGTAGCTTACTACTCTTTGAAACCCATTGTTGCATAACAAATACTGTTTCGCATGCAATAGAAAAATACCAACTGAAGAAACCCACATGTCTAAAACATATACAGTATCTCACAAAAATGAGTACACCCCTCACTTTTCAGCAACCATTTTAGTTAATCTGCTCAAGGGACAAAACTATAGAAATGAGACTTGGATATATTTTAGAGTAGTCAATGTGCTGCTTGTATAGCAGTATATATTTACTGTCCTCTGAAAATAACTCTCTAAGGATTTGAGAATTAGAGTTGTTGCTCTCCACAAAGATGGCCTAGGCTATAAGAAGATTGGTAACACCCTGAAACTGAGTTACAGTACAGTGGCCAGGGTCATACAGAGGTTTTCCAAGACGGGTTCCACTCGTAACAGGCTTTGCAAGGGTCAATCAAAGAAGTTGAGTCCTCGTGCTGTGCGTCAGGTGCAGAACTGGCTTCAAAAAACAGACGGATGATCGTGCCAGCATTGCTTTAGAGGTTGCAGAAGCGGAAGGTCGGCTTGTCAGTGCTCAGACCATACGCCACACACTGCAACAAGTCGGTTTGCATGGCCGTCGTCCCAGAAGGAAGCCTCTTCTGAAGCTGGCTTACAAGAAAGCCCGCAAACAGTTTTCTGAAGACAACCTGTCCAAAAGCATGAATTACAGGAACCATATCCTGTGGTCTGATGAGACTAAGATAAACTTGTTTGGCTCAGATGGTGTCCACATGTGTGGCGATGCCCTTGTGAGGAGTATCAAGAAAATTGTGTCTTGCCTACAGTCGAGCATGGCAGTGGTAGCATCATGGTCTGGGGCTGCATGAGTGCTGCTGGTACTGGGGAGCTTCATGGTTAAATGTCTCATTAAGGAAAACATGGATTCCAATATGTACTGTGACATTCTGAAGCAGAACATGATGCCCTCCCTTCAGAAACTGGGCCGAACGGCACGATAACGACCCCAAACACACCGCCAAGATGACAACTGCCTTGCTGAGGAAGCTGAAGGTGAAGGTGATGGAGTGGCAAAGTATTTCTCCAGACCTGAACCCTATTGAGCAGCTGTCGGGCGTCCTCAAGCAGAAGGTGGAGAAGTGTCATGTGTCTAACATCCAGCAGCTCCATGAAGTCATTATGAAGGAGTGGAAGAGGATCCCAGCAACAACCTGTGCAGCTCTGGTGAACTCCATGCTCAGGAGGATTTAGACAGTGCTAGATAACAATGGTGCTCACACAAAATATTGACACTTTGGACACAGTTTTGACATGTTCACTTAGGGTGTACTCACTTTTGTTGCCAGCTATTTTGACAATAATGCCTGTTTGTTGAGCTATTTCAGAGGACGGTAAATCTATACTACTGTACAAGCATCACACTGACTACTCTAAAATATATCCAAGTTTCATTTCTATAGTATTGTCCCTCGAGTAGATATACTAAAACGGTTGCCGAAATGTGAGGGGTGTACTGATTTTTGTGAGATACTGTATATAGGGGTGCAGCATCAAACATACTAATATAAAACTTGTGAACTGTTATTAAACATTAAGCAGTCCAACTCGTACAGTATGAAGTGCACAAGTATTCTATAGCATAGCCTGTTAGTATGCAAATGGAGTACAGTAAAAACCTCAATGTCAGTTAGTATATACTCTCACCTCTCCTCTCCATAAAGACAGAATTTTATCAGACACATGGATGACTATCGGCTCCCACTCATCTCTGTCTCTGGAGTGGATGATACTCTCAATAGCTCTGTTCAACACTTCCATTCCTGTCAGCATATACATGAAAAACACATTAACCACAAACCCATACAAAACATCCCTAGCAGGTCCCTGTGATTTTGCTAAGTAAGACATGTTCATGGATCAACATATTTTGTTGATCCTGGAACAACATTCATGTCCGAAAATGTAGTCTTAACCCTATCCCTACCCCTAAATCTAACCCTACCCATAAGTTATCCCTAAAAACAGAGGGAAATGACAGGTGAATAACACTGATGTAGAAGCACCTAACCCTGGTCGTAAGCCTAAACTTGACATAAACTGTAAACTTGTCCCTCAAATCTGATTGGTTGATTGGAATGTTGCTCCAGGATCAACAAAGGTGTTGATTCAGCTAAGAACATTTTGTACTTGGTGGAATCACATTCACTCAGGTGGTATACATGACTTTCTTTGATGTTTAAGCTAGGGTTCCACAATCCACACTATGCTGTACTCATATTTGACACTGAAAATGTTTTAAATGTGACATTTTAATTCAAACTCGAGAGCAGGAATACTTGCATTTGCCAAAAATGAAGTATTTGGCACTGAGGTTTAAGAGTATTTCAGAGATTATACAAAAAAATACCTTTCATTCCAGTGTAAAAGTGGTTTATTTGTGTAACGAGAGGTGTTCAGGGAAGAAGGAGGGGGGAACCGACAAACATTCAACATAAACTTTGATCCAAAAATAAACAAACACAAAAAGAAAGTAAAGCGTGAACTCCTCAAGGACGACAGCTGCATATAAACATAACAAAACACAACATAAAGTCCAGGCCTAGTCCTCTCTCGTCCTTCACTGTCATCACTCCTCCTTTTATCCTTGCGGAGCTCCTCAGTGGGACTCGAGACCGGTGTAGCGCAGGTGACGCTCATTAGCACTCGCGCCACCGGCCTCACTCCGTTCCCACGGCTCTCAGCCTGCTACAATTAGATATCTGAATGGCCCAAATCACACTCACCCATTGCTCTGGATACAGGCAGGTTTCCAATGTACTCCACCTCAAACTTCTGCACCCTCTGCCTCACTGATTCCAAGAAGTCAACTGGAAAGCACACATCAAACAGTCTCATGAAAGAATACGATTTGCAGTTGAGTCATCCTATCAATTTGCTTTAAAAGATGCCACTTTCTCAAAAAGGCAGTCGTTTTACCTTGGAGGGGCAAGTCCTCTGGGGAGATACTCTCCATGGTGAGAGAACGGGCCATAGAGGGCTGCTTCACCGCCTTCTCTGCCATGATCTGTGGAAACAGACCGATCCCAAACAAACCACCATCTTTGAAATATGGATGTTTTTGATCATGAAATGATATTAATGCTAATGTTAATGATGACAATAGATTTATCAGGATCATGTGATTTTACCTTGGAGCACATCTCATGCAGGGCAGATGCGATGGTCTTGGCCGGAGCATTGCAGCGGAACACGTGGCACTTGAGCATGCAGGTGTCTTTATCACTGGCCACAAAGGCAAAGTCCCTACGGATACCAGGAGAACGGAGTAAATACTCATCACAGTGACTTTAATGCTTATTCTAACAGCCTGAAACACTAAACATAATATCCACATTAAAATGTTATATATATATAATCAGTCACATGTAGTCATATATGGTCATGAAAAGAATGGTTAATGGTATTTTGTTTTAAAATAATTACATTTTTAGGTTACACTTTATTTCAATTAACCATTTTAGACATTCTACTAACTCCAAGTAACTATGCAACTACATGTCAACTACCAGTCATTAGAGTATAAGTAGATTTTAAGAATAAAGGTTAGGGATAGAATACGTTAACATGTACTTGCAAAGTTACTTAGTCAGTAGAATGTCTGTTGAGGGACCATCAAAATTCAGTGTTAGTAGATATTAAGTAGACAGTTTACTAATGACTGGCAGTTGACATAGTTGCAAAGTTACATAAAGTTCCTAAACGTAAGTTAGGGAGGAGCGAGCCCATCCAATCTTTCAATCAACAAACAGAGTATATAAGCAGCCGCTTACCTCTCCCTAGTATCAGCTGTTCCAGTATCCCTCCACCTCCCCAAACTCCACCTTCATCTTAGGTACCTTGCCTTTTAATTAACAGGTCCTACATTTAGCCACTGGGGGGTATATCAGAGCTCGAGTTGAAGCTGCTTCATCGAGCCCCTCTCCAGCGGACAGCAAGCCAAATAAGTTTAACCTAATATCTTAAAGATTTTATGGGCAAACGAACTCGTTAATTATTGTTAGGAAAATGTCTAAAGTGGACAGTCCACCACAGTGCTCACACACATTCACACTCTCACTTACACCTATGGACAATTTAGTGTCTCCAATTAAACTATGCTGTATGTTTTTGGATTGTGTGGGAAAACAGAGCACCCAGAAGAAACCAACACAGTTACAGGGCGAACATGCAAACTCCACACAGGAAGGCCTCCTGGCTCGAAACAGTAATATTGTGAAATATTATTAGTTACAATGTAAAATAAAATGTTTTCTATTTTCAGTGTCACGTGATCCTTCAGAAATCATTCTAATATGCTGATTTGCTGCTCAGGAAACATATATTATTATGATCAATGTAGAACATTTCTGTGGAAAGCATGATACAATCTCATGATGAATTGCGTTTGACTTGCCATAAGCATGCTGGATGGCCACAGTAGGAAGCAGCCCTTCTAAGAATAGGGCTAAAATAAAAATAGGACAAAAACCATTGCAAGCAGGAAATGACAACGGCCAGCTGGGTATTTACAAAGTGATGCTAAACCAACTCTAATCTCTCAACCTTAATTGTTCTTCACTAAATCTCTTCACATTAACCTTAGAAAGTCTCTCTTAGCTGACTGTTCGCGGCAATATCAGATGTCAATGTTCTATAAATACAATCGATCGGCATTTCTGGGCAGTATGATTTTCCAATTCTATATGCAATGCAACGGTTCAGGCCCTCTGATTCTTCAATACCTAAAGCTGCATGCTCTGGCTTCTTCAAAGAGAATGTTTTATTCATGAATATTACATTGGAGAAATGTAGAGCAGTGGTGCTTCATACGGCGTGCAGCTCAAGCTCGCACAGCATACTGATGCTTGTGAAATCCAGCACTCGTTCACTCTCAACTACATGTGAGTCAAACAGAATAACAGATGAGTTTGTCTGGTTAGAAAAGAGACAGATGGAAACCTTTATTGTGTGAATATAGAGTCATTGTAGCAGCCCCTGCAGATCTCAGTGATGAAAGAGCTCAGGGTTCCACTTTTACACTTAGTCAGGGTCTATTTTTGGATTTGCGATCTGAGCACATTTTCACAATATGAATAAGGCGTAAAGACGATGTCATTGGCACATGCCAACATGCTCTAGCGATTGTCCCATTACAAACTAATCTGTTTCCCCTATGTCCAAACAATTTTGACAAACCCCAAAATGTCATGAATACTGAGACTCTGATTGGTTCATCATTGAAGAATCATCTGCATTTATTGTTTGTTTGAACACAGGGGAGGGTATTTCTAAAACATGCGAAGCAAAGCAAACATTTAAATAAATGTATCATCGTCGGTTAATAAAAAAACCAACTTGTACACTTGTAATTTTATTATACTTTTTGCATTTAGTACAATTTGCACAACCTGAGATGCATGACAGTAAAGAAATGAAAGAAAACATGGCTACTGAGGAGCACAACTTCACAACATCACAAGACATCACTGTTTTCTAGGTCTCATTGAAAAAAGAAAACAAGTGCAGTTATTACCTGTCTCTGTTTTCACGAGTGGTGGTTTAAAAAAGAAAAAGGAAACAAAGGTTAATAATACGGTAGTTCAAATAATGCAAAAGAAGCGAGGAATATTTTAGCAAGATATAGACCCTTGTGAAAAAGAAGTACACTTCTGTTAGGACCACTATCGTCAAATACGATTGACAATTAGCATACAGTTTGGATTGTCGGTATGGTTCTGTTCTGGGCGAGGACTCCCTGCGCATCCATGCAGCCTAGCATGGATAAGAGCAGGGAGAGCAGCAAGAACCCCCCTTAGGGTAAACAGAACAGAACCAACATGAATGTATTGCAGATATCATTAATTAATAAAGATTTTAATGTACAACATAATTCAAGAATTTATTCTGATTCAAAGGGGAATCAGAATGCCAAATCCTGACTAGGCGAGAGGAGGAGCTGGGGATGGAGGAGGGTAATTAGCTCCTTAGAAACGCGATATCTGTTGATAATACTGAAGGAGCTTATACTGTATACAGTGATAGGCGTCGTATTCCTATAGGTAGACGTGGATCAGCTGAGTGTCAACTGATGCGAGCTTGACTAAAGTGACCTGCCAGAACTGACGCTATGCTTAATTTTAGCATACTTTTAAAAACAGTACTTATGACAGAAATAATATACTTTAAAAGAGCATACTGAATCATTTAAAATACATTAACTTTAAATGCAATATCGAATAACACTACAGTTAAAATTATAATCAAGTACTTTCCATGTTCTTTAGTATGTGAGTCAACACATCAAAATAAGTGTATTTAAAATGTATTTTAAAGTAAAACCCTTTAATTATCACAAAGTACTTAAACTTATTAAAAAAAACATTGTCATGAAAGTGTACTCTCTTTTTATTTCATTAATATTATATTATCTGCTTTATATTTTTACTTATTTACATTCAATACAATTAAGTGCACTTGTTTTTCACAAGGGGAGCTACTCTTCTCTCTCAGCGTAAGCCAGTCATTTTATAGTAATTTATAGTAATTTTTTATTTAGTAATTAAAGCTTTCAACAACACACAAACCAAAAACAAAAGCAACACAGTCCATGCAAAACATTTCCTATTATAGCTTGGATTGCAAATACTCATCATCAGTGGCTCTGCGTTTTACAGGAAAACCGAAACTCGAGCTACACTGGGCTTCACTAGGCGTAAATGAAAAAAAAGCACTCTGTGTTCAAAAACCTGCCACTGCCTGTCACTGAATGAGGAAATATGATGAACTGAAGGGCTGTACAGGCCATTTTTCATTTAGCAGGCTCATACATTTTCTGTAAAACTGTAGTGAATAGAGTCTCTGCAGAAATCCATATTTATTCTGTGTGATAGCATTGAAAAGGAGAAAAACTGAGGAATTTTAGACCCAGAAATAGAAGAACGGTACAGGTCAGTCTACCTGCCATTGTTGCAGCCCACCCCCCATACACGGATGTTGATTATGGGCTGACAATGGATGAGGCTGCGGTCCACAGGGTCCATTAGACTGAGAGTGTCCTTCTTGAGCACCATCATCATATCCTGACCCTGAGCACACACATACACACACACACACACGTATGCATTGAGTGGTTGCGACCTTCAGTAAGAGCTATGCTAACTGCGCTAACCTGAGGTGATTTAATAGAATTCCAAAAATATCGTAAAATAGCGTGTAAACCTTATGAAAATTGCTAATGGACAGACCAATATATATACTGTAACATTCAGCAGTATGTGGCAACAATGTGTTTTGCTATTAGAGGGCTAGCACGCTAGTACTGCTATTACGCCTGTCTGAATGAATTCAACGGACCTCCAAGGACATTGGTGGGCCCCAGCTAAGCACATCTCATCTATTCTAAGTCACTTGTGTATGAGTCCAGGCTGTTCTCACCTCTCCCCAGGCGCCAACTGCGTCCCGGCCCTCTGCTTTACTGTGAGAGAGCTGCTGGATGCAGTTGTTCACCGCCAGACTGCTCTTGCCAGGGGTCAGTTCTTCCTCTGGGATCTCAACCCAACCCAGAGAACGCACAGCAAAACACTGTAAGACAAATGAACAGATTCTCCTAACAGTACTTACTTCAGATCGATAATATATGACGCAAAATATGTTGACACTTGTTGCTAAATCCATTGGCATTAATAGTGAGTTGGATCTCCCTAATACTTCTGAGAAACCTTTCCACTCTTTGTATTAACATAAGTAAAAGAAAAAGTAAACAAAGGTAATAAGGTATATTGTGAGATTTAAAGTCACACTAGGTCACACAAGTAAAGTTGCAACTGTGAGAAATGTGCCCGGTTTCACAGACAAGGCTTAAGGCTAGTCCCAAACTAAATGTTTGCATGTTTGAGCTGTTTTAACTGAAAGCAACTTGCACTGACATATCTTAAAATATATCAGTGCCATTGTTTTGTTTTTTTCTAAGGCACGTTTTAAAAAGCTACTTAAATGTCTATTAAAGGACTATTCCTGGCTTAATCTAATTGTCTGTGATACCGGGCCATAAAGTTATAATTAAGAAGGGGGAAAAAATCACAAGAAATAAAGTCACAATTGCATTTAAAGTTACAGTGAAATATAGTGGCAATTGAGAGATACAGTAGTGGACAAAAGTGATGTCCGGTCTAGGAAAATTGACAGCTTCACCCTTTATTCAAATATATATATATATATATATATATATATATATATATAAATAAAACCTGTTAAATATTATGTTTGTGTTGTTGTGCTTGGAGTCAGTTGTTTTATTTTTGATAACTGATAACATTATGAAACATGCCAAATTGTGCAGACTTAATTGTTGGCCAGGATGTCATATAAAGAAATTATGAAAACATGCAAAAACAACTATATTAATTACTGATTGTTGTAGTCAATATATGCTTTTTTCATGTGAGATTTATATATATTATATATATATTACTTTTTTATTTGTATTTTTTTGCATAGTAAAATAGCTTGTAGCTTGTTGTTTGCCTTTTTTGCCAAATCATTTTTTCAGATAAACACCTCAACCAAGTTAAGCGTTTTGTTCTTCCCTCATATTTCAAATATTTAAACATATAAAATATTTTCGTCATATTTTTTAATGGTTTAATCAGACTTTGTAGGGTTATTAAAAACAAATATCCCATCCAGACATCACTTTTGGCTTCTACTGTAGTCACACAATTAAAATAAATAAAGTTGCCATTAAAAGAAATATTCACAATTGCAAGATAAAAAGTCACAACTAAATAGTCACAATCACAAGAAATAAAGTTATATTGTGATATTTAAAGTCTAAACTGTGAAATATAAAGTACCAAATGTAAACCATCTAGTCGCACAATTACAATAAATAAGGACACAATTACAAGAAAAGTAATTTAGTGATATTTATCAAAATAGTTTTATTTTAATCATTTAATTAGAAGGGGGCATTGCATACATTCGGCATGCAGTTCATGTTGACATTCTGGATAACATCCATTACAGTGATTACAGGTAGGATGTTTTATAGTGTCGTACCTCAGTGTTTCTGGCTTCTATCAAATATGACTCACAGTACACATATTATAAAGACAAGCCCCCTGAAGCATCCTGGGCTTTAGTTTAGTTTCATTTTTTTGTAATGTTTTGTACAGAGCATACATCTATGACCCTGCCTAGGATCATTTTACACAGACTCAATAAAGCTGTGTCTTAAAATTGCATCCCTTGTGCTTTTAGAGGTCATAGCCCTGCACCCCCACCTTCTACATGCACACGCACATATACACACTACTGAATCACTAAACATGCTCTGATTGATCCTCCTTTCCAACTCTGACCCTCAGTGGTTACCTCAGGATGTGCTTTCTCTTAAGTGTGATATATGTGGGTCACAGTGACTAACAGCAGAGAAAACAGTCATAAATTGTACATGTTGAACAGTATTAGGGCAGCACACAGCATGACTCTACCTTGGAGTCGGGATCCATGTTGGCACAGAAATACTCTTCCTGCCAGGAGGGCCTGAAGCAGAGCAAGAGAGCACATCATTATGATAATGACCCATAATTAAATACTGGGCTCATTTCAGCAGACAAAAATAAATAGGAATACAGATTAAGTCTTGAGATGCTGAACACTTATTATTTTCCTGTTTGGAGTTCTACTGAAAGCTCTAGAAAAGCCCATTTAGACCGCTGGGGTAGTTTGTCCTGTAAACAAGAAACAGCCCCTATAATTATCACTCTCAGCTTTGTCCAGAGCATTTTGAGCAAACTTCCTCCCTATAATAAACAGAGGTCCCGCAGAGGAAAATGATATAGAAAAGAGCTATAAAATAGAAAGTCCTTTATTGAGGACTTTGTCTCGGTAGACACCAAATAAATAATTCATTACACTAATTAATACATTAAAAATGGCAATCAATGGTATCTGAACTTAACATGCCAGAGTATAACTTTGCGCTCTGTTGTGTTATGCCGCCTCAAGGTGCTGACAATATATGTGAAGGTAATTGCATTCCCTGTAGTTGTCAACAATTCCCAAACAAGCAGCCAATCACAGCTCTCTGAACAAAGTCATTGGAAAGGTCAGTCAATGACAAACATGGCACTAAATAGGGGGATGTTCCAGCCTGTTACATAAATGTGTTTACAGTATTTTGTCCTTCACTGGCAAAGACCACGTTTTGCACTACAAAATGTGGAGAAACTCTTCTCAGCGTTCATAATTCCCCAGGTGAGTGCTCGCTTATGTTCAAGCATTAGCGTGACTGGGGCCTCATGGCCTGATATCAGAGTGTTTGGAGGTTAGCCAAAGTTAAAGTTTTACTCTCCGTCCCACAGTCGTAAAGGCCAAACCTGACTGGCTGTCTAAAGCAGAGCCTCTTTCAGCGGAGAAGACGTCTGTTCAGGTAATACCATCTTCAGTTAGAGGAATGTGTTTGTTCAATTAGATGTCTACAGGCTTCAATAGTGGGCTAAACAAATGAGGGAACGAATGGAAAGAAAAGGTGCTTTTTCATCTCCAGAGCACCAGAAGGAGAATTTGGCTTAACTTGTATGTGTGTGTTTGGCTGCTAAGCTGTGCCAGAGTTTCATTTGCATCAAGAATGCAAATTGACACAGTCCATGAGTAATGTGTTACTACACCCAACACATTAAAACAATCGCGATAAATTAGGTGAAGACACCTTTTTAACTCTTAAACACATACCTCGGGTCTTAAGTGACCTGGGACGTTGTTTAATACCCTCCCCACTCATTAGATTTTTTTTTTTAATTTAGACATCAACCTAAACTTCTTATTATTAGTCTTTGATCTATTCATTATAAACAATATAATAATACATTTTTTAAATGAAAATGTCTAATTAAATCTAATTGATAGTCTGTAAATGTGTATAGGGTAGCTAGTGACCCGAGGTATGTAATAGTGTAAGTATCAACCCTTACAAGTTCCAAAAGGTAATGAAATACTCTTTATTTTATTCTTTTGTAATTGTTGTTAAAATATCAGGACAGTTTTATACTATTGCGCTAGTTAGAGATCCATTTGTGTTAGATATAGATCCGGGTCGATGATTGGCAAAACATGTATTTAAGGGTTAACAAAAATTTTTGTGGCTTGGTGAATGTCTTCTCGGGGAGACATGTTCCTAATGAGTTTTATCAAATGTGTGCACATAAATGGAAATTGTTTATTGCACTGCGCTATGGAATACTTGATTAAAAAACATGGCGTGGTGTGATTAAAAAAACGGACTGATAAACTATATAACTGGCCAGAGGGAAACGATATAGCTTAGACGTTTCTCTTTCATACTTCCATTTTTTTCTAATTTAAGTTTGAACTTTGACTCAGATGTTTCTCCTCAAATTCCTTAGGAGACATAAAAATGGACATGAATGAGACAGTTAGCATATAATAACAATAATTACTGGTGTATTTTTTTCACAAGAAAAATCTGAGAAGCAGGAGATTTTATTAAAAAAACTGCTCTCGATTTACTTTCATTGCTGTCTGAGAAACAACTGAGATTTTTTATAAGATCTCATTAGTGATTTTCTTTTACTACAGGCTATCAAAAAAAGGTGTCTGGGACAAAGATAGTGAAAATTTTTTTTTGTCAAGTTGCTGTGTAATAAGTGGAATATTATACCATCAGCCAGTCATTATTCTGGAACAACATTTCAGTCAAACAACCCCTTGTATCGAACCTGGAAGATTCCTAACCTTAAAATTATAGGGGAATAGCTGATAACAAGCCTATTATCCCAATCCTAATGAAATAATTTTATTTCAACAAGGATGTTCCAAGAACATCCAAGAGCATCTCCAACTTGGTTACATCATATTGAGCTACACACACTTTGGTTTGCATGTTTTAATGTCTAGTTTCATAGAAACATCTGTAGCCTTTCCTCAGCAGTACGACCACCAGCGCATGTGTGCTTCCCTCACCTTTCGCTCAGCGAGGGTAGCGGGTTTTCAGTCAATCTTCCTCTTGAATCCCGCCTACCATCCACTGCAGTCTGAAGACATCAAGAGTGGAGATGTGATGGCTGACAGAAACACACACAGAGCCACACACACACACAGATCAGAGTATCTCACCTTGATCTGGCTGGCAGTGATGCCGTTAATGGTGTTTTGTTCCTCCTCTGCGCTGTAGGAGGGATGCTGCCACTGAGTGGTGCCCGTGGGCACGTGCCAGTAATAGGTGCCAGTGCTGTCACGTATAGTGCGCCATCCTGGAGGCAGATCCGAATCCAGCTCCAGACTCTGATCATTCCAGATGTTATCTGCAAAGAGAATGGATTACTGGATTAATCCGTACCTGAAATAAAATGTTATAAACATTTCACATGCTAGTTTGAGGGCAGCATGCAAGATTCTTGTAAATGTGCCATGTTACAATTCCCAAACACAGAGCAAGCAGCCCTCACACACACACACACACACACACACACACACACACACACACGCACTGGGGTGAGGTCACTGCAGTGATGGGCTCAGATACTCATGAGAGACAGACCAGGCCCTAATCTGCCCACATGACACAGCCTAAAATGAGGTCAAATCTAAAAGCAGCTCTGTCTTATTAAAAAAGAGCTGGACTAATGTTCATTTGTATTATATCTTACTCTATCACCCTGTCCCTTTAACACAAACGTTTCCCATATGTAACTTCTGTATCTGTTATCGGATGTTATCATGGCATGCTTTTTTATTGATTTTAATATTATTCAAATTGTATTTATTATTTGGTAACACTTTACAATAAGGTTTCATGTGTTATTAGTTCACATGAACTAACGATAAACAATACACATACAGGGTTTATTAATCTTAGGTAATGTCACTTTCAACATTTACTAATACATTATTAAAATCAAAAGTTGTATCTGTTAACATTAGTTAATGCACTGTAAACTAACATGAACAAACAATGAACAATTAGATTAGATTTTATGAGATTATTAATTCGATTATTAACTAATAGCAGCAAAGGTTAATAGATGCTGTAAAAATATATTGTTCAAAGTTAGTTCATGTTAACTAATGCATGAACTAATGTAAACAAATGAGACCTTATTGTAAAGTGTTACAGATTATTTTTGTTAATCTACATTTTGTTATTTTGTTAATAAACCTATATAAACCCTTTACATGTAGAACTCAGCAAAAACACACATTTTCACAGAATTGGAATCACTGTCATTTGCAAAGGTGGGCACATTGCTTGCCACCTTTTATTTTATTAAATAGTATTAAATAATTGTATTATGTTTTCAGCTAACAATAAGTGTCTAGTATCTGTCACACTCACGCAGTTTTGCTTGTTCTTAGTTTCTGTTTTCTTGGACTTTCAGTTTGTGTTCATCAGTCACATGTATGTCTTTGTCTTAGTTTCCCGCCAGTCATCAGTTGTCATGGACACTCATTAGATCATCACACCTGTTCGTTATCATCTCATCATCATCACGTGTAAAGGTAACTAAAATAATTAAATGAATATGACCTAAACAACATAAAATGTAACACTAAAGACCCTAATCTACATAAATAGCAAAAAAAACAAAACGATGTAAATAAAATATAATCAGATGTGAATGTGATGCATCGTGTAGGGACCTCAAGGAATGTCCTTGTGTTGTTTTTCACTGTAAAATATAAGGCGACTAACAAAAAAACCCCTAAATTTAACAATATTTTACTGTAAATGTATTTTCATTTTGAATATTACACAATTTAATACATTTTATAAACGATATAGTAATTCATAAACCAAACATGTTACAGTACTGTTAGAACCAATGGGCAGGTTTTAACTTTAGCATTTTCATATTTTTTTCTTGGTAAAATGCCAGCATTTTTACAGTGTTTATGTGTGTCAAAGTCAACCCGTCACGTCTCTGATTTAGTGCCTCAGACAAAGGCATAGGGCTACTGGCAGAACAGCAAGCAGGAAAGAGCAGCTCTGTCTGCTGAATTATATGTGCCTGGATTTATCTCTAGCCTGAGAGAATCATTTAACACAATGCATCTGGAGAGCCCTGTCCACTCTCACAAAAAACACGACGCGGGAGGCTGGAGGGGACGTTTGGGGAGAAAACAAGACTGTAAGCGTGTGTGCGTGGTGCTAGAACTGGGTCAGTAGTGACACGAGATTGCCTGGGCAACGGGTATAAGAGTTGCCTCTGACACACAGTCTCATAGTGACATTTCACAAATGACATTTGCACATACATTTAAAATGTTGATTTGTTGAGGAAGCCCCTATTTATATACACTAGTCAGAATAGATTTTTACACACATCATTACGAGTGTTTGGTATATAAGGATTTCTTGTGAGCTGTGCTTGACATTAGATATTGGACCTTTTTTACCCACATTATGCTGAACAGCTGATCTGTGAGCTCTCAGCATGCATTGCAACATGAATAAATTATGCAGATAGCGCTACAGGCTTATTGTTTTGTTGTTTGCTGACTTTATTTATGCAACTGTTGTTGTTTTTATCCTCACAGTTCGTTACTTGTTTGTATTTGTGTAGTTATATTAAGAGCTTATCTTTTTTTTTACAATGCACACAATTATGATTTTATCGTATATGTAAAAAGTTACATTTTAGAACCTTTGAAGTCCAAACATTGATTATGTACCACATTAGTGTCTTCCTAAACTTACAAAAATGTAATGCATATCTACCTTTTTTATATTCTTTCTGAAAAAAATGATGCATTTGTTTAAAAATACATAAACTCAAAAATGACTGACCGCAAACAACTGAACGGTAGTGTATTTTTTCTGAGAGTGTGTGAAGAGGAGAAGATGTGCTTTCACTTAGCTTTGCTTTCAACAGATTTCTGAGCTTGGAGAGTCCTGTTAAAGGCACATTAATCTTACAACACAAAGGACTGTGGGTTTAACCTCTAAACCAACACCTCAAATCTGCTTCAGTCCAATTAAACTTTTAAACGTCCTGAGGCTTACTAGATGACCATTTTTACACTCATAAGCTGATTTATGTAATGGCTTGGACCGTTGTCGGGGTTCGTACAGATTTTTTCGAGTGAAATTCAAGTCGTTTTCCAGCGTTTTCAAGCAGTGGCAGCATATAAACGTCTTTGTGAATGTTTGTGTGTCTGCGGCCCTCCCAAGAGATCATCAATCATGTCCAGATCGAACTCCTCTTTTTCACGAGCCACCCCTCGCCTCCGCTCCTGACAGGCCATAATAATCGCACTGTGTTACCATGACATTTTTAGTGTTTTGGGCTGGCTAGCTGTGCTGTCAGCTGAAATACAACACAGGCAGAAAAAGGCTGAAGGAAGAATAAAGGTTATTCTCAGTCTAATTCTGGTCCCCATTCGGTGCACGAACTGATGTCTTCTTACTGTCTGTGTTTGGAGCTGAAGGCAGTTTTAATAAAAGTGCAATGAGTGGATGCATGCTGAAACACAGATGCCTCATTGGTTATCACTTGTTTCAGGCTCAGGGGCAGGTAGATGAATGTTAATGGATATTACAAGAAGAAATAAGTTGCTAATATACAACTGTTATTCTACCTGCAGCATAATGTACACACATTATATTACATGATACATCATGCAATACTGTCTGCAGACATACGAATCTCAAATGCAAGTCTGTGGTTTCAAGAAACAGTGTGGGTTATGAACTCTTAAGGGTATTGGGGAGCAGCTACAGTGAGACACGGCATCACTTCCTGTAATTGTGGTATCACAGCTTTTCGCACGTAGGTGGTGCCGCAGTTCCCATCACGCACCCACTAACAACTTCAAGGCTATGTCCTGAGGATGAAGCGATAACAACAGATTGGGGGGTGGAGGGGTTGAGAAGAGGATGTTTGTGAATTATTGATGATCTCCTGAGAAAACCTGCACTGCCTGATCAGTCCCTATAAGAAACAGTTATATAATGATTGTGTCAAATTGTGTCCAATTTGGTGCAAGAAAACCTCACTGTTAGTGGCACCATGTTGACAAAGTCTGATAATAATACATGTTCATTACTTGGCACTCTGCATCTCAGAGTTTAATGTTCGAGTACATTTCCTGAAGAGTGCTTGCCTGCGCACAATGCTAGTTCTGGGTGGTTGCCAGGCCATTGCTATACAGTCTGAACAGTTTAAAGCATATTGCTATCATGTTATGCAGTTGCTAGGGTGTTCTAGGTGATTGCTAGGGTGTTGCAAAGTGGCTGCTTACAAAAATGGTCTTATTTTCTCTATGGTATGCATAAAGTCTTAGAAAAGTAATAGCACCTCCTCAATAAGACATGAGTTGGCGTTAAACCTGTTTAAGCAATATTAACACTGATACTTGCAATTCAAGCACCACAAATGTTTGAAATTATTCCATAAAACTACTTGAATAGTAAACAGGACACATAACTCGACACCCAGATACATTTGAGAGTAACCACAGGCAACTAAAGAGTCTAAAAAACAATATGTTTGAATTGTGCCTTTTACCAGAGAGCTCTCATGTGGCCAATCAGAACTGACCACTCCTGACTCCCATGAGCCACTGAAACAACTGTAATAAAAGGCACTGATTGCAATCAATAGATTTTTCGCCTTCCAATTCAACCACTTTCAAAGTAAAGCTGAAGTATGAGGTAAAGAACACTGACACGAATTTACAATAGAGAGAGAGAGAGAGAGAGAGAGAGAGAGAGAGAGAGAGAGAGAGAGAGAGAGAGAGAGAGAGAGAGAGAGAGAGAGAGAGAGAGAGAGAGAGAGAGAGAGAGAGAGAGAGAGAGAGAGCCGTAAAGTGTTTACTCTACTCTTAACCCTTGGTTAGGGTTGCTGTCACCCTGGGTTATAACCCTTCTACACTACAGGCTTAAGATGCAACACATTACCAAAAACATAATTTTTGGGGGGCAAAATTGGTCCATTGTGTAATGTCAATTCTGTATAGAAATGTATGAAGCACATCTCACACAGAAGTCAGTTAAACCAAGAAGCTTTCTATTGGTCATCATGGCAATTTAGGCTATGTTTACACGGAAACGATCTAAAGAGAAAACGCAAAAGTGGCGTTGCGTTATCACTTTTTATTCTGCGTTTAGACGCGCGTTATGGTTGGGAAATCCGCGTGCATATGGTGACGCAAAAGTGTGTGAAATTCGATGTAGTATGCACTCCAGGCGGCTAGGTGGCAATGTGAAGCACTGCCACACAACAACACCAATATCTTAGAATATTAGAAGGTCCGACGTATGTAAATAATCTGACATGTTGTTATTTTCCTGTACTAGCGCATGCATGTGGCGTAAACGCGTACGCGACGAGAGCCACCGTGAGCAGATTTGCATTTTTACCGTTTAGACGGGAACGCGACGGTGGAGCGTTTTTAAGATTTCCACTCTGGAGGGTGGTTTCACTTTTTTGCGTTTTTAAGTCCCCAAAACGCCGTTGCCGTGTAAACGAAAGGCACATCCGATAAAATATTTTTACGTTTTCACCTGGAATCGTTCTCGTGTAAACGGGGCCTTAGTTTTTCTGTGTTCTGTTCCTGTTTCCTTTGTTCCCCACTTCCCCGCTCCTCATTTGTTACCATGGCTACTGATTTAGTTGCACACCTGTTTCTAGTCCTCTTAGTTTGTCCTGTGTATATACAGCCATCAGTTTGTTTTTTTCTGCTTTCATGTCGGAAAAGTCTCTTTCAAACCAAGCAACTTTCTGTTGGTCAGTGTGGTGAATCCACGTGGACAAACTTGTAATCATTACAAAATAATTTACCAGCATGCAAAATTCCCGACTGCATGGATTCCTACTGAAATTACTGAATTTTGAATTTCATATCATACCTTTAGCCCAGCTTTTGTGGTACCAAACAACACAGTGCTAACGCTGTATTAGCATTAGCACTGTATTAGCAGTTGCATTGCTACGCAAAAACACTTGTTTAATAACCAATTATAAACTGGTTTTAAAAACCCAAGAGGCACTATTGGAAGAAAAAGGGAGAGCCAAGAAACGGACAAAGCTCCAATATGTCCAGTTTTGAAATCTGTCAGGACAAATGAGAGAAAGAGAGAAGCAGAAAGAGAGAATTGTAGCTACATCTGGGGGGAAAATAATCCCAATGGCGTTATGTCAGTGGTCAGATAATCCCAATTCAGTTATGTCCGTGTGAGGTCAGACAGGGAAGATTAAGACTAGAGGTGGATCTAAAAATCCATCTGGGACTTAATCCTTGGGTCTTCAATAAATCAAGAAGCAAGACACGGCATTTTATTTTGGACGCCCTTATGAAGACATCCGCACATGGAGGCAGGCAGCATTTCAGTAAATGAAAGTACAACAAAATTGATTAAGTATAGAAAATTTGCAGCAAATGCAATCGATTCCTGCACATCTACGGGAGCTCCTGCCATCAGCGTTCACTCAGCACCATTCGGCATTGTGCCTAAGTGCCTTAGTGTCCATGCCTTTGCCTTTGGAGAAGCTATTCCATCATTCAATGTCTCTCGTACAGAGACAACAGACAAACATTCATTCTCACACACACCTCCTCTCTGTGTGTTTAACAGAAGTTATTTTAAGAGTGATGACGTGGGTAGGACGCGGTGAGGACAGTTTCTCCCTTTGTACAGATACTGGGTATTTGATGCATAATGTGTCCTTTTTATTATAAACATCACGGTTTTAGGTTCAAATTAATATGAGTCTATAAAACAAAGTGTATATTTTGGGTCCGCTGATATTTTAGGTGTACATTTCAGGCTTACCATTATAATCAACTTTTTTCCTTCAGCGGTTCATTTTAAATGGTCCTGTGATGTGACATTATTTTGTTGTTGTTGTGACATATTCCATGTAGTCTCTGAATAAATAATTTTTACATAGACATGTCAATAATATTTTCATCAATAGAGTTTTAGATTGAGTTTTAGCATGTCACACCACAGGACATCAACTTTTTTTCAACTGCACACTTTTGGAAGCAACTTTTAGCATCACGGACGGCACACTAGGTACGTTGTTTTGATTATAATAGTTAAATGTATCACCTTTGGCACTACCTCAGGAGGCTGCAACAATTATTAATAAACAAGTATTTTCAGTTGGAGCTCTTTGTATAAATCATTCAAAATGATTCCACTCCAAAGTGTAACAATATCAAGCTCTACCACATAAACTCATGAATGGAAAGTTTACTGGTGGTCTATATAATGCTTCATGTTGTGTGGGAAAATTATGCTGCCGTGTTTCCATAATCTAATCCTCCAACAGATGCATAATCCCAACAAAACCGCACAGGTGACATTGTCCATGAACGCTTGTACGCCTGGCCCTCAACAATATCAACAGGCAAACCTCTCAATTTCAACTTTTTTAGATTGTGTTGGCCTCGAGTGTGAAAACCAATCGATGCAAAACTCCGTGTAATTAATTCCAGCGAAATTAAGTCCGTTTGACTAAACGCCTCAAAAACAGGGTCTTTAAAAAGTCGGGTGGGTCTAGTATGACACAGCACCTGTAGGCTAGTTAAAGTCATAAGTGAGCGGCGGCGCGTGTGAACAACAGACAATGTCTGCAGATGAAGAGAAACTCTTCTGCTCACTTCGACACCTAAGTAGTAGAGAGTGCACTAAGCAGAGAGAGAACAAAGAGGAGGGGAAAGTGTAGATGCATCCGTGTACCTACCGTCATAGTTGACGATGATGATGGCGAGCATGTAATCCTTGCCCAGCATGGTGTCTTCCCGAAAGTCCCCTGTGGTTAGTTCAGATACATTCCAGTTCAAAGCGTCCCAACACCACCAACAAACTCTGCAGCACACACTCACACACAGGGTGACCACTGCACTCAGAGATACTCTCACATGCCAAAAGGATTAAAACCCACACTCCTCTTTTCCTCTCTCCGTCTATCCCCTCTTTTATTTCCCCCTCAGGTAATTTCACTGCTGTCTAATCAACCTCATCTTTGTCTTGTTGCCTAATGCTGCTCTTCTGTTCTCTTCCCTATTCTGTTCACTGTCGTTCCGTCAAGCTGAGAGTGATGCTGTTTGTGAGATTGCCTCTCTCTCTCTCTCTCTCTCTCTCTCTCTCTCTCTCTCTCTCTCTCTCTCTCTCTCTCTCTCTCTCAGTGTGTGTGTGTGTCTCTGTGGATTCTGTAATTCAGTAATGCCTGCAGCTATTCCCCCTCCTTCGCCCCCCTTCCCATCCCTGTCTCGCTGGCTCTCTTTGCCCCCCTAAGCTCATGGTGGTGCCTTAAGGATGGCTGAACATAGCTGAAAATAATGTAGGTGTAAATAAATATTATAAATGGAGAAGATGTATACGGAAATATAGGCTATATACAGCAAAAAGGGTTGAAGTATTTTTTTTCTTCATTAATCAAACAGGGCACAAACTGTGACGTGTGTTCCTGAGAAGAATTAGTGTCTCCAATCTGTTCCACACCATGAGGCAGAGAATCACCATCTGTAATGTGAAGAGTGCAACAAATTCTCATTTTTGACACTGGTTAACTTTCTGTACATTTAAAAGCCCTTTATGTATTGTTTCATTATCAAAATATGCTATTAGAGTTTATGTTATTGTTTTATGAGAGGAATGTTTTATTAATTTGTAATCTAACAGCTTCATTGGACTTCATAAAACGTTTCTGGGAAACATCTTAAGATGTGATTTAATGAGATTAGCTAGCTAATGTTACTAAATACCGAGCGCGTGTTATAAACACAATAATATAAACATATGACCCGCACATGAAATATTCTTTAAGAAATGGTCGTGGTCAGTAAAGAGCTGTGGGGTGTAAAGGTTTGTGGTTTGCTTTGTGTTGGTCCACCTTAATTCCTCCCGTCATGAAATCAAGCGAAGTCCGTCATCGTCCAGCCTCCGTTTGCATCATCACTTTGGACTGGTTGCCACGGCAACGACTTCTCTGTCGCGAGCGTCTGTCTGCTTCTGCAGTCACAAATGGGCGCGCGCGTTTATAATCAGTGGAAATAGGCTGCTGTAACGATATAGCATAGTGCCATAATTATATTTTATGTACATTGCAGGCTTATGTCTAAGCCACAGTTGATGTAGGTTATGAAATAGGTTACATCGTTGTCGAAAATAATTTCATACATTCTGAAAATAAAGCATAAACCGTTCCAGTCTCAATTGTCTTTTGAATATGAAGTGCGCTTAAATGTATTTAGTATACACTTGTAGTGTACTTCAAATCTTAAAGGAATAGTTCACCCAGAAAAAAAAAAAATTGTCATCATTTACTCAGCCTCATGTTTTTTTCCCAAACCTGTATGAGTTTCTTTTTTCTGCTGAACACACACACACACACACACACACACACACACACACACACACACACACACACACACACACACACACAAAGAGATAATGTGAAGAATGTTGACAACCAAACAGTGATGGTAGACATCGTTGTCCATAGTAGGAAAACAAATACTATGATAGTCAATGTCTATCGTCAACAGTCTTATTACCAACATTCCTCAAAATATCTTCTTTTGAAGAAAGAAACTCATGCAGGTTTGGAACAACATGAGGGTGAGTAAGCGATGACAACATTTTCATTTTTGGGTGAACTATCCCTTTAAATGTATTTTTTTTTTTTTTTTAACTGTAGGCCTGCTTGCAGACAATGTAATATTAATTACATAAAAGCATGATAGGTTCAACACACTTCAGCACACTATTAAAACGTACACTTTGTAAATATTGAGTCAAAAGGTTGAATGAAAGGTGGCAAAAACAATGGGAGGAAGAGAGGAAATGACGGAAGATATTAGATGTGCAGGCATAAACAGGAGAGATTAGATAATATCAAGGTTAAGATGTGTAACACACAAGACTAAACGGTACACTTTATAAGAGGAAACATGTGGACAAGAAGAAACAGCGTCAGAAAGAAGGATTCTGAAACAAAATGTATGCAAAGATAAAAAGGCAATTTAAACTAGCAGATATTCAACAAAATCAGTGTTATAGTTGTCCTTTTCAATATCTTAATTTGTGGGAGAGGATATAAAAAGGGAAGATTATGACATTCGAATCCGCAGATTCCGCACTCCATACCAGTCGGTGGCGGTAATTCATCATTTCGTTGTTTGTCAACCGCCATTAAAACCTCAAAAGAAGTAGAGAATGAGACAGACCAATGTAATCCAACTTAGAGCGCGATCTATATAGCTTTCAGGTTGCTCAATCGAGCTCAGAATCGCTGATCCCGCGCAAGCAGTCATGGCGGACAAGGTTGGTGTGCTACCGAATTTAATTAGAATTTTTACAAGTCACTTTAAGTTCTGTATATTTTATACTGTTCTCGATTACTGTTTAGCTACTTAGTCATGGCATTTAGTGTCCGCGAAACAACGGAAAGAAAACAAATTCTGCAGTTAAGTTCACAGTGTTTGAGTTAGTGACCCTGTCCAGTTCAGCAGACATTAACGTTACTCTGTTCCCTGTCACGTATCTGGCAGTTATTATAGAACCTGTATTTTATCACTATCCCTAAATGTCTTTTAAATATATATTTTTGATGAAACATGTAAGATGTAAGAATTACAATCCCTTTTCTGCTGGCACACCCGCGATAACTCATTCTGCTGACAGTCCCATCAACCACAACTATGATGATGGGGTTGTTTGTTTGTTTGCTGTACATTTCTCAGTCTTTATGTTTCTTGAACAGGACCCATTCCGGCAGCTGAAAGACCTGTCTCTGCTGAAAGGCCAGCTCGAAGACATTCAGCGTCGGATGGAGGATGAAGTTGGGGTTGGAATTCCACAGGCAGGGCTTTATATTTTTGTCAAACACATTTTTTGTCAAATTATTTTATGCATCAGTTAGTGTACAAATTAAAGTCATTACAAATTGTGGTTGTTTTACTCGCTTTGTCATCTACTGGGGATGAAATAGTGTTAAGGTACATTTTAAATTCTTTAAAAAAAAAAAAACACACAAGAAAAACAGGTTTGTTGTTGGTGAATTTACATTTATGTAAATACAATTTGCCAAGAAAATAAATAAAATGTATCACAAAGCAAGCTTTGTTTTGAGTGGGGTCAAAATCAAAGTATCCAAAAATAATTTAAAGGTTACGGATATATCTTGCTGGATATTCTCTTTAATAAATGTGTCGATATTTTTACATGGTAGTTCAGTATATTTTTGTCAAACTCTGGACCCTTTTCACGGACTGTGATGACGCATTGTCGCAACAATGAACAATGTTAATCTAGTGTGGTTATATTTCATTCAAGTAATAATAATACAAATGAAAATTCACAAATCTCTACTTGTATTACCATAGCATTAAATTGCTAAAATAAAAAAGTGAAAACGGTGGCTTCAATAAAAGCATAAACCATCGATCAGCAACCTCGTAGTTTACAGTTGGTCTGTCGTTTAAAGGTTTATAAGTTATTGCTAAAAAATAAATAAATTCCCTTATGGAGAAAATGAATGGTATTTTTACTTCTGGAAGCCGCATTATACGGCTACTCTACTAGATTGCCTCTGTTGGAAAGTTGTGGAAATGCAATAGTAAATGTAAGTTAACCCCCGTTAATGTGAAAAGGGTCTGCATGATCATTTGGCTTAATGAAGTTCTTTATTTTCTCTCTCACTCTCCGTCTCTTTCCCTCTTCCTCAATCTAGGGTGGAAGTGTGCTCAGTTCTCCCTTCCTCAAGGGCTTTTTGGCTGGGTATGTGGTGGCGAAGCTCCGCTCCTCTGCGATCCTGGGAGTTCTTGTAGGAACATGCACAGGCATCTATGCCGCTCAGAGCTATCAAGTGCCTAACATCGAGCAGACCGTCAAAAACTACTTCAGCTCATTCAGGAAGAGATAGATAGAGGGAGCCATATAAAACAATCTCAGAAAAACAGTGCCTCTTTCAAAGAACTTCAACATGTACCTCCTCAACTGAGGGTGCCACTCATCAGACCACAGAACAGACACTTTGTGTATATAAAATAATTGAGCTTCTCTGGTTAGCAGTTTTAGGCTGTTTTCTATTTCTAATTGGTGAGTGCTGTGCCGTTACAACGGCTTGTTTTTATATATACCCAAATTCCTCATGATGATGCAAATGGCCAAAACTTTTGTTATCAGTCCTTCATGCTTCTGGTGTTAATGTTCTGTCTGTTACATGAATACTTTTGCCAATCATTTATTCTTAACAGAAGTTTGCACTAAAACGGATGAACAATCAGGCCCAACACACTCTTGTAAATAATGTCTGGCATTGAACAATTCCTGTACCTGTCAAATATCAGATGTTGCTGGAATGTTTGATATAGTTTTTTGAATAAATATATGTTGCACTTTACCACTCTCAACTCTACCACTTCTGCTTGTAATGGATAATAATGGAAGTCAGCCAATGGAAGTGAAATAGAAAACATGAAGTAGCCCGATTAAGCATAAAAACCAATTCACACGCAGTTGGTTTTCAGATGCAGTATTGAATTCAAGTGGTATGTTTTTAAAGTGTCATTTATATTGTAATGCACCATTTGTCTATGTAAAGAATTATTTAAAAACAGTAGTTATCAATATTGAGTTTTGCTTTTTCTTTGCTTGATGTTCTTTTGCGATATGTTTTTTTGAAGAGATTCTTTTACATACTTTGCATGCATGCTATTTTTTTTTCCAAGAATTTCTGAAAATGTTCTATTTTAAAGAATAAAATCTCAAATTGCTCTCTATAGAAAAATGTATGCGAAAAGTTCATTTATTTTTTTGTAGAAAAAGTGTTAACAAAAAAGAGCTAAATCTGGGCCAATCCAATCACTTGTTAACCCTTGTATTATGTTGCAGGTCAATTTGACTAATATATATATATATATATATATATATATAAATTTTTTAAAATTTCTATATGAATATTTATGAACATTTTGTGATTTTCTCATTAAAGCTCATGAACATGCCTGCAATGTTTTGACATTGAGATGTTGTGGAATGCATGTACAAAATTTCTGCTGATTTTTATGTTCACAGGTCAATTTGACACACAATTTCATGGTTATTCACAGCTGCATAGACCCAAAATTTAATATATATATATTTTGTCAGTTTCTCACCCTAACCCTCAGGGTATTTAAATGTATGCATTTGGCATTCAGCCGTTTCTGAAGTCATGCTCTACTGTTTCAGCTTCAGGAAAGCACACAAAAATAAAATAAAACTTAAAAGAGATCAAAATTTTAAATCAACAAAAATAGTTACAAATCTGTTCATAAGATTATTTTTTTTTTTAAATGGTTAAATTCAGTTGTAAAAACTATTTGTTCCCATGTTTTTTCGTGAATTGTATTGAATCCACTTAACATAAAATTCATACCCAGAATTTGAACATATGATAAAATCGTGTGTGTGTGTGTGTTTGCTCTAGCCTTAAATTATGCATGCTAATTTAAAGATCCTAAAATATTTGCAAGTATCCCTTGGGTCATAGAAATTCACATCAAGCGCAGCCTTTGCCATACAACTTGAAAGTACAAGTATTTGTCCAAAACAAACAGATCACACAAATGGTTAGAAATTAAGTTTATTGGCTATCTTTGTTAGCTCTCCATTATACATTTTCTATCCTTCAATATAACAGTTATCTCTCATCATCCAGTCTATGAATATTCATTAAAAGGTAATTAAATGTTAGTTAAAAAAAACAACAACAATAGTACAATTCAATTATTAAAAGTGAAAGTTTTTCATAAAAGGTCAACACTGCTACAGATGATCTATTAAAGTCTGTAATTATTACCAGTACAATACAAAACAGAATTAACTTTTAGATTTTCATGACAGCCAAATCTAAAATGCTTACCTCAAACCAAGCTATGAATCTAAAGTAAATGTGAAAGTCCAGCTGTTAAAGTTAAAGATAAAGACACCAGATTGTGATATTTAAGAAGTCTTCTTCTTCACTGCTCTTCTTCAGTGGCCATCTTTTCCCACCAGAGGCTCCATCACCTTTGTATCAGCTAAAATAAAGAACAGTGACGGATGCTTTTATCAGAGCTATATCATTACACCAGTACATTTAAAATATGTATCTTCTTTTGTGTTCAGCAGAAGAAAGAAATTCAGACATGTTTGTAACAACTTGAGGGTGAGGGTAACTTTTGGGTCATTTTTCTCATCTATGCCACAGTAGAACACAAGTATTCAGCTCGTACCGGAACACTGAAGAGGACCTTCGGTCAGAGAATCAGGAGTCATAACGCCGCTCTTGTCCACACACCAGCACCATTTAGTCTCCTCCCAGCACTGCTTGAGCTGGTAGTCCCCGTTCTCATCACACATGGGGCGGAAGGACGGCAGGGGACTCTTGACCACCCCGGCGGCCTCCTTCAGGCACTGGGACAGGACACTGGGCTCTGTGGGACACAAATGAACAGAGCATACATGAGTGTGTGTGTGTGTGTGAGCAGAGGACATACAGTTGCTGAGAACTAAATCTGGTGTTTGACAATGACAAGATCTTGATACCTGGTTTGCGAGATGAGGAAGGGGAATCCTGAAATATAGACAAATAACACTTGAGAGAGCTGTAGATGGCAGGATTTATATATTGTATGTTTTGATATTCTTTATTTATCATTTCTTTCAAAAACATAAAAAAAATGAACTATCCCAAACTTTTGACCGATAGTGTCAATGTCTAAAGCAAACCCGTCAGTGAAACGCAGCCCTAAAACTTGATTAGATTTTCTGACTCAATCCTGACACCACGTGTCCGCCTGTTCACATTACAACACGATCAAGAGGAAATGAGTTTTACCTTCTCTTTGGGCGAGTCGTCAAGTGTCAGAGCGAGGGAGCTCATAGGGAGCTGCATTTTCATGGGAACCCCTTGACTGCGCATGACTGCACAAAAAAGGGAAGAAAGCCAGAGTTAATTTGCTTCTAGAGGACATCTATGGTAATGGGTAAATGGTGATTTAAATGGTAGTATGATGAACGGAAGCCCATAAGATGGTAGTTCTCTGACCAAACTTGCGGCTGAGCTCATGCAGGCGGTCGTTGCGTCTCTCGAGGGTGTTGAGCTGCTCTCTGTGGTTGTACACCATGTAGGCAGTGAAGGCCTGACCTGCGATCAGTATTCCAGCCAGCAGAGTCACTCCTGCCACCTTCAGGGCCCGAGTGTTAGATCTGCTGGGACAACAGAGAACCAGTGGATTCATACGAGTGACATGCTATGCTCAACCTGAGGCTGAACAACTGCGGTTATATTCTGAGATTTCATAATGTACCTTGTTTGTTTGTGTTGTTGAAACATAATAATAACATAAAAATACAAATAAAATAAGAGTGACATGCTGTGGGGGCGGCATAGCCTATAGTTACAACACTAACAAATTATAACAAAGAGACGCTTGGATGAAAACTATTCTGTGTCAAGTGGACAGACGTTTGATAAACCTCGGTTTACATTATTCAAAGCAAAACAAAAAAACAGTCTAGAAAACAGAATAATAATAATATTTTCATTTAAATGGACAGTTCACCCCAAAAAAGTTTTGTCATTGCTTGCTCACCCACAAGTTGTTACAAACCTGTATGAGTTTCTTTCTTATGTTGAACACAAAAGAAGATATATTTTGAAGAACGTCGGTAACCAAACAGTTGATGGGCTCCATTTACTGGGAAAGTCAATGGGTGCCGTCAACTGTTACCGACATTCTTCAAAATAGAAAATAGAAAAGAAGATTATTTTGTGTTCAACAGAGGAAAGAAAAAACCGTATACAGGTTTGGAACAACTTGTGGGTGAGAAAATAACAAAAAATATTTTTGAGGGGTGAAACAGCATTTTAATTTGTAGGCTACTGAGTTATGAATATGCAATGCGAGCAATGGTGATACGCAGAAACAAAAACATTGCGATGACAAAAAACGCCTATATTTCTTACACAACACATTATAGCATATTTTTTATGAAGCACTGCTAGTGAGGACTTCAAATGTATAGCGATGTTATATGTTTTTACACAAAATTTCTGCTTAAGAAAATAAGTAAAAAAAAATCTCTACCAATCAAGGTATTTTCAACCACTCAGCAAATTTAGTCGACCTACATTTAGCATGTATAATTGACAGAAACCAAGATTTGTTTATAAAAGAAATAAAAAGCCAAAGTTTCCTCACCCTCTCTGAGGTCCCATATTGATTGAAGTTTGCTCACTTGGAGCTCTGATAAGTGGTCCGTCGGTTCCGTCGGTCGACATTTCTGATTTACAGTCAGAGACTTCTCAAAATGTTGGTAATTTGATCAAGGGATTTTTGTAACAGCTCTCTAATATGAAAAAGTGAGAACTGAGAATCTAGCAGTGTGACACTCGGATGAAAGTGTCTATAGAGCAGATAGAGGTCATTATTTCATTGGATAAGACGCGCTGCATCATCAGTTGTCAGACAAACGTGAACTTGAATATCTTTCCTCCTGTCTCTCATACTAGCGTCATGCATTCATTTTGCGTATTTTGAAGTGCGATTTTAAACATTTTAAGGAAATTTGTCAGTAATTTTCGAGGCGCAGTCGATTTTGTGAGACTATATTTTATGGCGCGTCTTGCACAAAAAAAAAAAAAAAAAAAAAAAACGTCTGAAAACATACTTACCAAATATAAATGTGCAAAAAAAAAAGCCATAAATAATGACAGTAGCTTACTTATCTTTTGTTAATGTCTGACAAGGATCGTAATAATTAAAACAGATAGTTATTTTTCTATTTTAAAGGATTAAAATTACAAAATAAAGTGCAACTTTCACTTTCACTCTCACTCATCTTGTTTGTCCCCAGTGTTCGGTAAGTTACTAAAGTAATTAATTATACTAGCCATTTATTATATCTTCAACAGTGTAATTAGATTACTGTACTAATTACTCTAAAA